CTGATGTTATTTCTTAAGTATTTTGATTGTTTTTTTGTTAAGCACAAAGTACTAATTGGGCTATCTGTGCTGTGCGCACCGTGAGTATCAATACCTGATTATTATTATAAGCCCTCAGAGTTGCTGTTGTACCACATCTTACTACTTACTTGAAAACAACAACCAAAAACAAAACACCCTAAATAGTCTAAACAACATTAAACAATTTCCTACACGTAGAATAATTGTCAGGCATTAATATCTTATCTTAAAATATAATCATTTTGTAATGATGACTCCTAAAAACAAAGTATTGTGGTCATTGGTGTTAACGAAATGGCGTAGAAATAAGTTACCACAGCTTTAAAAGTAGAGGGCTAAAAGCGTTTACTTCTCTTAACGAAAGCATTAATATAAAAACACTACTGTTAACTTATCTGATTCTTGAACATCCACTAATGCTGGACACTAGATGCTAAAAACCCCGAGGTAAAAGCATCTGCCACTACCACTACATCATGGTTGTAGAAGAGTTCATTTAACAGACTTCCCGGGCACATGTACTCTTCCATTTAAAGCATCTGCCACTACCACTACATCATGGTTGTAGAAGAGTTCATTTAACAGACTTCCCGGGCACATGTACTCTTCCATTTAAAGCATCTGCCACTACCACTACATCATGGTTGTAGAAGAGTTCATTTAACAGACTTCCCGGGCACATGTACTCTTCCATTTAAAGCATCGGCCCTGAGTTTTTAGTGAAATAATATTGTTTGTTAACTCGAAACGATTTATACAATATGTTCTTAAATATCTTCAAAATAATACTTAATGCTTTCAGCACTTTTCTTTTTATAATTTAAAACATTACCAAAACGAATATTTACATTTTGAATTTAACGTAGACATTTTCAAAACAATTAAACGATTCGCTTAGAAAAAGAAATCGCATGTTACTAGGGTTTTTATACACTATTTCAAGCAACCACGTCTGTTTAGGAAAAACATAAATAATTAAAACGATATGATGTTGCCGTCTGCTGTTTTAGATATAATAAAACTTTTATAATATACAGATCTCTATATCTTCGTTTTAGCTTATTTTATTTTCAAATGAAAAAAATACTTTTATTGTTTTGCCCTTAGTGGACACAGCGAAGATAGTCTTTTGTGAAGCTTTGCACTAAAACAAAACCTACACTGTATGATAAAACTGCGTTCGGTGCTGTCCTCCGCTGGGTTAACGGTAAGTTTATGGACTAATAAAGTGAAAATCCGGGGTTCGATTCCCCTTGGTGAACAGAGTGCAGTTACGCCATTGTGTAGCTTTGCACTAATAAAATAACAACTTTCAAAGCTGTTCGACTCTTTATTATGTCGTTCTGTTCCGGCTCATGGTTTTAGTATATCCTTAATCTAGGACCAGAGGTTTCACCACTACACTCTTTATGAACATGTGAAAATACCATGTAATAGATTTGGAATTTGTAAAAATGTGAGAATTGTGGAACTTATCCTAAATTAAGTTCTGGTAAAATTTTAAACATATTAAATTGTTCTTGGATAGGAGCATTTGATGGTTTTTATCTATCAGAAATTTAGCTAATGGGTGTCATTATTGATGTAGCATTTTAAGTAACCTGACTATTAACTCCTTTAAATCATTAATCGCTAAAAAAAGGGAGGTTTGGCCTTAAGATAAAGGATAATTGTGTGCACGTGTCGTACTACACAAAACACATAACTTATAGATACAGTCACACACTTCGAAAAAGCATTCCAAAAAACATTGAAATTCTGTCATAAGTCCAAAAAGTCCTGAAATTCTTGTAACTTCTGTGAGAATGAACTCGAAACCTACGTGAAGCGAAGTACTTAATGAAACATTGTTTTTTTTTTAGGAATGCGGAAATGTTTGGTCATACCCATTGTGAAATAAATTAGAAGTTTAGTTCATGTAGATGAGTGTTTTGAAGTACTAACATAATCAGAATGTAGGAGACATATTCAGTCAAAACTGAAACTAAAAATATGTTAAAGAATCTATGAAAAAAAGAAGAGAGTAAAACACTGTTTAGGAGTTGTTCTTCTTTAGGTATTGAAGTAACATAGTCAATGTGAGATTGGAAGTTGGCCTCGTTGGAATTATTATTGTTATTTTGAGGTGAATTACCTAGTTGTAATACAGGGAACGGTGTATATTGTCAGAATAGTAGTCTATTTGTGGAGAAATAAGAACAGGTTTTGCGTCATGACAATAATTGTATCGTGTGTACGACTGGTTAATTTTCTGGCTTTATTCCATAAAGTCGTGAACTTAATGTAAGCATGTGGCTTAGCGGCGAGTCTGTAGGATTACGACGCTAAAAATCGGGTTTCGATACCCATGGTTGGCAGAGTACAAATAGCCCATTGTGTAGCTTTGCGCTTAATAACAACCAAGTAAAACTTAACACAAGCCTTTCTGTATTAAGTGCTGTAGAATGGAATGTTTGTTGTATCTATTGAGTGTAAATTAATGCTAATAATTATTGCGGGAACTATATAAGAACTGTAAGAACACATGTATGTGAAATAGAGCTACCTAGTCTTCCAGAAATAACTACAGTATAATGTATACAAAAAAAGAGTTCAGCAGTCAGTCTCTTGAGAACAATTAAAGAGCATTTGTATGAAAGACAAATCTACTGGAAAATGTCACGTTATGGTTATTTAAAGCAAGGCTCTATTGTTGTTCAGAGTGGATCTAGTCAAGCCACTCTATCGGTTTGCAGTATTTGATATAAAGTCCTTTACTCATCACCAATAAACTAAAATACCATTCTGTCACAGTTCACAATCTTCCAATGAACGGACTATCTAGTAAATTAATTGTAAAATTTTCATTATTTTTTCTCACTAACACCTATAACTTGAGAGAATAATTTTTTTTTCTTTTTGTTCAATTTCTCGCAAAGTTACTCTGGAACTATCTCCGCTAGCCATCGCTAATACTGAAGTAGATTTTTCTTTACCAACGATTAGTGGGATTGATCATCATATTATAACACCCCCATTGCTGAAAGTGCAAGCATGTTCGGTGGCGGTATTCCATCCCGCGTCCCGTAGATTGCGAGTCGAGTGCCCTAACCACTGGGCCACGCCAGGTTCAGTAGAACCCGTGAATGAAATATTCGCTATGAAAAGCATCATTTTATTTATTTGTGTTTTGGGTAATCGCGTAAAGCTATTCAAGGGCTATCTGCGCTAACCATTCACATTTTTAACTGGTATACTAGAGGGAGAGAAAGCAACTAGTCAACAGCATCCACCGCCAACGTTTGGTCTACTCTTATCTGACCGAATTATGAAATTTGACCATCACTCTTATAACGCACACAGGGCCCCAAATCGCAGAGTGTGTATTTTTTTTTTTTTTTTTTTTTGCAATGGCACGCGAACGCTGGATCCCCAGCTCCATTGTTCGGCATGATAACCACCAGCACAAACTTGATCACACTATCGGAAATTGTCGTGTTATAGTTGTTTACGTTAGAGTTAGTCGCTTTCGGGCATTATCATATTACAGTTGTTTACAGTAAAGCTAGTCGCTATCGGGTAGTGTTATATTACAGTTGTTTACAATATAGCTAGTCACTATCGCGAAGTCTCATATTACAGTTTTTTACAGTAGATCTAGTCGCTATCGGGCATTATCATATTGCAGTTTTTTACAGTAGATCTAGTCGCTATCGGGCATTATCATATTACAGATGTTTACAATAGAGCTAGTCGCTATCGGGCATTATCACATTATAGTTGTTTACAGTAGAGTTAATCGATATCGGGCATTTTCATTTTACATTTATTTAGAGTATAGCTAGTCAGTTTACGGGAAGCTGTCAAAGTTACAGCTTTCTGTTTCTTGGGATATGTAGGTAGACCCTAGTGCTTAGTCACATGCAACTGATGTAAGTAGACTCCAGTGCTTAGTCACATACAACTGATGTTAGTAGACCCTAGTGCTTAGTCCCATACAACTGAGGTTAGTAGACCCTAGTGCTTATTCACATACAACTGATGTTAGTAGATCCTAGTGCTTATTCACATACAACTGATGTTAGTAGACCCTAGTGCTTAGTCACATACAACTGATGTTAGTAGACCCTAGTGCTTTGTCACATACAACTGATGTTAGTAGACCCTAGTGCTTAGTCACATACAACTGATGTTAGTAGACTCTAGTGCTTAGTCACATACAACTGATGTTAGTAGACCCTAGTGCTTAGTCACATACAACTGTCTAAAGTAGAGGAAGTCTGTCTCCCGAAAAATATTTACTGGAAATAATTACAGTATAACAGTGAAAGTAGAGTTAGTTAGTCTATCAGGAACTGCACAAAGGGAACTGTGACGGAACAGAAGCTTAAAGAAACTTTTTCATCTTGTGAAGTTAGCGTAATCTCTCAGGAACTGCCATCTTTACTTTTTCTTTTTTTTAAATCATAGCTAGTTTGCCCCATATCTTTCTAAACTGTCTAAAGCGTGTTTGTTTTACAGGAACGAGCACAATAGAACACTCTATAGAGGAGCTAGTCTTTTTATCAGAAGCTCTCACAATCTAACTAACTGCCTCTGCCTACCCTGAAGCTAGTTAGTTTCCCAGAAACTACAGTGTTGTATCTGCCTAAAGTAGAGCGAGTGACTCTCCGAGGATTTTCACGTTACAGGTCTCTGAATTATATTCTGGCAGTCTCTACGGGATTGGTGCTTTACCACTTGCCTGAAGCAAAACTAGTCGTTCTCCAGAGGACAGTCGTGCTATATATACTAAAAGTATAGAGAGCCTGTTTCTCAGGGACTGTCACATTATTCGACGTGTCTTAGTCTTACAGACAATTCAAGTATTGCACAACGTTTTCATACGCCTACCGATTGGCTACAACCCTGATGAACGCCTAGTCGATCGAGTCTCCCACTGAGCCTTTTTATCTTTGTTTCCTGTCAGAGTGTTACATATACAGTGTGTAAGTGTTTGATATCACAAACAAGTGTGTTTGAATAAATGCTGAAACGTTTCCATTTAAACAAGGATATGTTCTTTTCATATGTATGTGTGTGTGCGCGCTTTGATTTTTCAACTTTTACAATTAAAGAAAGGTGTTTTTTCTTTTTTTTTCTCTCTCTCCCAGATATAAGTCTGAATTATATCAAGTGGCTTTTACTTTTTTAACTTCATGCTGTGCTCGGTACAATGTTTTAACACTGGCACATTAAGAAGTTTCTGTTTATCTGTCCAACCGATGTTATGTTTTCAATATTCGATAACTTTGTTCGACCGAATTAGCGGAAGCAAATTGTACTGGACTGTCCTCTCAATCGGATAACCGAATGGCTAATAAGGACTAATGCGTCTATTTCGAGTTTGTTCTGGTTAACCATTCCTTCGAAAGTGGAGTTTCCACGTGCGAAGTAAAGGTTGCTGTTATTTCTGAAGTTACTTCTAAGTAAAGATTGATGTTATTTCTGAAATAAAGATTAATGTTATTTCTGAAGTAAAGACTGATGTTATTTCTGAAATAAAGATTAATGTTATTTCTGAAGTAAAGACTGATGTTATTTCTGAAGTAAAGATTGATGTTATTTCTGAAGTAAAGATTAATGTTATTTCTGAAGTAAAGATTGATGTTATTTCTGAAGTAAAGATTGATGTTACTTCTAAATTAAAGATTGATGTTATTTCTGAAGGAAAGATTGATGTTACTTCTAAATTAAAGATTGATGTTATTTCTGAAGTTATTTCTAAATTAAAGATTGATGTTACTTCTGAAGTTATTTCTAAATTAAAGATTGATGTTACTTCTGAAGTTATTTCTAAATTAAAGATTGATGTTATTTCTGAAGTAAAGATTGATGTTATTTCTGAAGTAAAGATTGATGTTATTTCTGAAGTAAAGATTAATGTTACTTCTAAATTAAAGATTGATGTTACTTCTGAAGTTATTTCTAAATTAAAGATTGATGTTACTTCTGAAGTTATTTCTAAATTAAAGATTGATGTTACATCTGAAGTTATTTCTCACAGTTCGGAAGGAATTATCTAGCATGTCAGCTCACTCTCAACCTCTTTCCTTTGCTGCTTATTTTACTACAGTCCTAGGTAGTGACTAAGTTAGACAATGATAAAAGATCATTACTATTTCAATCACTTTATATTGTTTTCCTGGAGTTGTAAAAGAGAAATAACCTTTGTAGGTGTTTGACCTTAAAGAGAAGTGTCTGTTGAAAGTGTTGGAGCTATAATAAGGTTATTACACTTTCAAGTTATCAACTGTTCATAAAGCGATGAAAAAGAGTTAAATAAAATCATTGTTTCACGGGATCAGATGAGAGTCCAAGTTCGTGATAGTCGAAGACCATGTAAAGCTTTGAAAATATTATATTTCTGTTTGCTTTATAATTTATGCTATCAACTGTGGGTCTGATGGATTGTTCTTGATTAACAATTACCCGGTAAGTAACCTTGTGTTGATATATATATTCGATCATTCTCTGGGTTCTTTGGCTTAGGTGTTTCAACAATGGGTGAAATCCACAATGAGTGTAGGACCATAATTTATTTCTCAAAAGTTAATTTTCTTCCAAGTGCTTTATATCGTTTTCAACTTTATTGTACGACTGAGGATATTGTTTCACTTCTGGTAATTAATGATATATCATTTTTTTGCAGGTAGTACATGTGTTCAAGATCTTGGGTAATAGAAACTTCGAAGCTGTAACTGGGTAAGGAACCTTTGTTTTTGCGAAATTGGAAAGCCGTATGCATTTCTATTTTATTTTTTAATTCAACTTGGACCTAAAATGTTATTTTGGATGGCAAGAATTTACAAGATTTATTCAGATGTACCTTCATAGCTTTTTATTAGGCACGGTTTTAACCCGAGGCTTTGTTATACCTCATAGTTTAGATTATTCACGGGTACACAAAAGTCAATTATAAAGTTATGATTAGCATTCATCATTAAAATTGTTGTTTGGGATAATGGATATTGCAATCTATATAAAAAGTTTTCTTTTGAGTGCTGAAACTCCAAGCTTCAATTTTATATTACCTATTTCTCCTTGATCTGATAGAGGTGAAAATATTATATGTATTCGTATACTTTCCTGCTACTTATTCCCTTCTTTAACCAAAATGATTTACGTTTTCACGTACAGTAATTCCTATCTTAGGTTAGATAGAGTGTTGATCTACTTGGGCTAGGATGTGATAGCCTTAGATATCAAGGCTAAGCTCTTGTAACTTTATTTCTATCTTAGACAAACTCTTTTAATATATCCGTTATAGAAATCTATATTGAACTGCTTTAAACTAAAACTTTAAAATTGTCATTTTTTAAAGCAAGCACCTATTTTAGACTGTCTCTTTACACTCGATGGGTAGTTTGGCCATAACAACTCGGAATTGGACCTTCTATTCCGGCGTTGTTAATCTGACTTTTTCATGGGTATACCGAGTGGCCATTCTATAATTACTTTAATGCACTTGTTATAAACTAGGGAAGTGTCATTTCATTGTCTCTTTGTTATCTGCCGTTCGTGTGTTTGTCAACAGTGTCAGTTCAAGTTCAAGTTCAGACTAGTCAGAGCAGCCCAGCCCATTATCCAATTCAGATCAGTCACAACAGCTTAGCCCAAGACCCAGTTCAGACTAATCAGGGCAACTTAGCCGAAGAACCAGTTCATGTTAGTCAGAGCAGCCCAGTAAGTGTTTTTTGCTACCGTTTATGGGTGAAATGTGTTGTGATTATATCCATTCCAAGTTTGTGTCTTTCTCGTAAGTAAATTGTACACTGTCTAATTTTTTGTAACTTCACGTCTGTTAGACAGTAAAAAGAGATAAATAAAATGTTTGTTTGTCTCATTGGAACTCCGGTATCCGTGTAGCTTCTTTGATGCAATTTAAAATATCCCAACCTTGTCCAGCCATACTTTGACGATCTTTACCTTTCGGTCTTAATTTATACATTATTTTTATCAATTAAAGCTTTGGAATACTCTCTTGTTAGCAGAGTTAACTTATTTGTTTGAGCTTCTTTAATAGAAACAACAACAAAATTGAAGAAAGAAATACAAACAATGATATTTCACGCCACATTATATGTACAGGTAATTTCTGTTTTCTTTTCTATCTAGACTGAACATCATTGTTGGCTCATTCTTTTAATTGTACAAAACGTTTACTAAATTTTCACTGTTTCACTTTCATATTTTTTGTGTCTTCTTTTGTTATTTTGATGTTTCAATTGTTCCATCTATGAATAACAAGTAGCACGTGAGCGTTGCATAGGCATTTCGAATTCCTTGACTTCGTAGATGTCTGGAGAAAAATTTTAAATTACTTGTATTGTTGTTTGTAGTTAAGCACAAAGGTACACAATGGGCTATCTGTGCTCTGCTCAATACGAAACCCAGTTTTTAACAGTGTATGTCCGCAGACATGCCGCTGTGCCACTGGGGGAGGGGGCTGTAAATTACTTGTAATTTGACTTCTTTATCTATGTTAATAAACTTGAATTTACTGGCCGATTGTCTTAGCCTATTTTGAAATTGGTCTAGAGTTTTTCCCTTGATTTTCATTTGCCTCTTGAGTCCTTACAATGAATATTCGGTATTTATTTTTTAGTTTAAACCTTATATTAAGTTTTGTGACTGTTACTGCATGATTGTCAGCTCACCTGTTTCTGATATGGTGTCAAATATTTCATGAACTTATTCTATTTAGTGTAGCTGTATTACCCCATTTCCACTTATTGTCCGTAGTATCCAATGCAACCAGAATGTTTTGATAACATTGGATCAATTTACTTTTGCCTGGTTTTTAATAAGATAGGAGATAGGGCATGTGTGAGCGTCAAAAGGCGGGAAAGAAGTAATCTTCATCTCGCTTGAAGTGTAGCGTATCTTATGAAACAAAAATTTTATACTCGAAATTTTTGTTCTTACTCTAGTTTATGATTCACAGTGTTTATCTTAAAGAAAAATAATTCACTTTCTTCCTTTATCGTTTCTCGGGCTCACTCTGAAGAGCATGATTATGTGTTATTGCCTGACACTGTAATTTTCACTTTAACAAGATTTTTCAAAGAACAGTAAGGTGGATATCAGAACACATGCTTTAACAAACTTTTCAAAACAAAAGTAAAATATACAAGTGTCTCGAGGCCTCTGGAACAGCTATTTATATATAAAAAAGACAAGTGAAAATGAGCAGATAAATACTTTTTTCCAGACCAGCCTCTCTGGTTAGCAACTCAATATATAATTAAGTTTGACGATTCCACTGGAGAACCACCAAGTTAATACTACTCTAAAATAATCCTGACCAACAATCAAAGTACATTCAATTCGGAGATCTGCCAAGACTTTCCAGAATGACATATCAGCCATATCAGGAGAACAGTCTCATTATACAAAGAGGGAATCAGAGTTTCCAGCATCTCTGTCTCTTCACATGTCTAACAAGTCAAACGTCGTTAACAATTAATTAAAGACTAAACTAGTATACTGGTTACATATCAAAATAGATACGCTTAAACTAGTCTTGACTATGAATAACCCTTAAGGGCAGCATTTGGGATAGTTCATTTTAGTTTTAACTTAAATTCCAACCTAACTTTATAGTAACAGAACCATGCTTTATATAAGTACGTCACAAAACGTCATGACACTATGTAGAATCAGAAAATCACTAATATCTTTACTTTTGCAGTGCAAAAATAAACCCTTCAACATAGTTACGTATAATATACATAAAAAGACTTGACATAATCAAATAGACGCTCAAATTTTAAAGGATTCCAGTTTTTCTGGAACCATACATAGTACTGATTGGGGTTAACATTTTGTGGTGCAGCTTTTAATCATATAGGACGGGATTAACAGTTCTGCTCTGTGAGACTGCAGCACATTCTTGGCATTGAATCTCTTTTAGGTAGTCCCGCAAGTGGTTTACTACGATCCGTCGTCGAATATAGCCCACACGTGCCCAAGAAAGCTCACGTCCTGTGATTGGCCAAACCATGACAGAGCTGTAATGCCCCTCTTTCCATCTTACTAATGACAAGTCTCTGTAGACACATGGATTAAACATATTCATAGAACGTCTTTTAACAAATAGGTGTAATAGGTGTAAGTAATAAAGATACACAGCAAAATATAATTTAGCTCGGATCAGTTAACCACAAGAAAGGCCAACCATTACAAATTAGAAAAAAAAACGACATGTAGTAATTTTTATTTTGAAAATTTTAAATTTCAAGCATAGAATAAAAGTTTACATGAAAGCTTTAGACTTTAGGCTTACAAGTTTTACATTCCAAGCATATTACTTTTATTTTGCTATTTATAAACTTACGTTTTGTACATAAATTTCTATCTTCCGATTTAATATAGTTTCAGACTTTAAACACATAAACTTTCAGACTGTTAGTACTACGTACTTCTGCATCTTAATCATATAAACTTATAAATTGAGTAAGCTTTTATAATTTATGTTTATAGTGTTTTAAAATATTTTGTTACATGAAGAAGAAAGGTACAAATGTTCTGAAGTAATGAGTAATCACATTGGCAGTTGATACAAGATGATCACAATTGCATTTTCGATTATTTATACAGAGGGTTGAGTATTCTATATTTATATTCAGACGGTATAAAGTTGTGTTGGAATGGCATGTATCAGAACTACATTTTGACATTGTTTGGCGTATCTGTGATGCCACCAAAAATGTATTGCTTTTGGGAAGGGTATGCAATAGTTCTTTCTGACGCAAAATATTCATATACGCAGATGAAAAAGATGTGTTTATATCGGGTAATCCAAAATGGGGATGTCCATTGTAATTAATGGCAATGAACATCAAAAGAATATGAATCAACTTGTGGCACCAGTGCCATGTAGAAAGAAACCTCAACAAGTCATAACTCAGCTGTGACAAGCAAAGTTCAGGTGAGAATTCACAACAAAAAGGTCAGTGGCAACAGTTGTTCACGCGACAAACGATGCATTACGCAGCATAATCAAGAAGGATCTTCATCAGGAAAAGCGACACAATTTGTCCCCACGATATATCCACTGAACTTTCGCATACTACAAGCAGCTGGAGGTTGAAATAGATGTTTATGCTATCCCATACAAAGACAGCAGCCAAGACGCTGAATGCAGAACCTATGGATTTCTCTGCGATTGGACTGTTAAAACGGGTGCTAGGAATCTACCATCTTCTTACACTAGATGGATTATGGAAAGCCAGCAGGGAAGAGAGGTGTTCTTTGGCCTTACAATAGAGCCTTTTGCAGTGAAAATTACATCACAAGGCTGTTGGCAGTATGCGCGGTCGTCAGACAGAGCATGATTGTATCAGGTGACTTGAATCGTATCGATTTGGTGAGGCTCCAAAATCATTTCAATATAACGCACTCGGCCTTTATACAAGGTAGCTCTATGTGAGATCTTCAGATATTTCATTGTTACACAACAAGGACAAAGTCACTTCTGACTTCTCAAAAGTCAATCAAGAAATTTGGAGTCACTAATAAGATCATTTTCTTCCCTTTTCCGAACGTAGAAACTTGAGTCTGGCAAGGGTTGAGCCAGTATTTGTTATATCTGAGTCGGGTGTGAAACAGTTTGTCCATCATGACGATGGGCGATAAGAAAGCGGTCAAAGCCTTGTCTGCACAGAGCAAACGTCAATGTTGAAAATGCTAAATCTATTCAACCTCTAAAGATCAGAAATTCAGCTAGTGACAGAGGATTGAATGTCATAACATAATGGTCATAACTGATTAAATCATTCAAGAAAATACTCAGAAGAAGGTGAAACAAATCAAGTGTGTATAGCATCCTCAGTAGTGATACACGTATGTACCCTATAGTAAGTCTGCAGCTTACTAACAGATGTGCTGATCCATGGAGGCTTCACTTGCGAAAGCACAAAACAACTCCGTCAACTGGATGACCAGCCATGAGTTCAATTTATACAGAATCTCCCACCTATGCTGGCTGGCTTCATAGAGGAGAAAAGATGAGAAGAAGAAAATAAAGCCTCCTATTTTTGTTTCAGGCAACTTCTTCTGCCAATGAGGACCCAACATTTTAAGGGTAACATTCCAATGCCAACTCTTTTCCGTTACAAGTGAAATATGAAAAGTTTAATGAAAAAACTAACACCAAACCTTGTTTAGATATAAGCTCAAAGTTGCGTCAAGAAAGCCAACGCAACATGTTTGATCAAACTATTATTTGGTAGAATAAGTATAAAGAAAAATTTCAGTATTATCAGCAAAGCTCAGAACAGAAATAATCTATAATATCTATTGGGTTTTTGAGTCCTTACCATACAATAACCTAAATTAATTTTGGTAAGTGAGTAATGTTATTACATTTCACTTAACTGTATGGGAATTAGAAAGGACTGAAAAAAACAACTCGTAGATATTATATACACGTCACCATTACAAGAGGCCTAACTGCATTTCTTTGGTTTGCTGACCCAAACTGTGCTTATGATCCCTCAATAGGTGAAACAGCAGTCTACAGCAAAGAGTACGGCCAATCAAAGAATGCATTAATTAGGCCTCTACGTCATTTTCTTTTCAATTTCACTCTTGGTAAAAACGAAACCTTTTACACATTTATAGAAATATATTACTTCTACACATCGAATTCAATCTACTTCAGAACTATTGTAACACAGTTACATTATAATTTCTTTTGTTCTAAAACAGGATTGCAATTATAACCTCATTTTATCCAAAGTCTACAAATCTTTCTATGATACCTAACTGAAATCATTCCTTCAATATCCTCAATGAAAATATTGCGTACACCTTGTTTCTCC